TTGAGATAACCTCTTGTCACACAGTCACCAGTTAAGTAGAGTTCACCGATGGCGTTCACTGGTACCATTTGCATGTTGTTGTCAAGCACGCAACCGTTCGTATTAGATAAAGGAAATCCAATGGAGTTTTTGTATTTGGTTTCGGTATAATAGAAATAAACGGTATTGTACACAGTTGTTTCGGTAATTCCATAAGCATTGATCAGTTTGCCTTTATAGAGCGCTCGGACATTGTTGAATACAGTTTCGGTGACTGGCTCACCGCAGAGCGTTATTGTTTGCAGATATGCGAATTTGTTTGTGTCTAGTTGTTGTAGCTGTGTTGGTGTCAGACTGATGTAGGTAAGCTTGTGTTTATTCAAGTATGTGTAAGTGCTGCCATCATTTGTAAAGCTGCTTATGGGAATTATAAGTTTGTTTGAGCTGAATATTGATAGTGCGAGTTGTTCGATGGACATGTCGAAAACATAGTTTGATAGAAATAAAACGGCTTGGGACGAGTTTTCAGAGTCAGCTCCATCGAAATAGCGATATATCACTGCATGACAGAAGGAAACTGCGCTTGCATGTTCCACCTGCACTGATTTCGGTTTCCCGGTAGTGCCGGACGTGTATATAACATATGCTAGGTTGTTCGTGGAATACATGAGTGACAAGTTGTTTGTATTTTGGTTCTCTAATATTGCAGATATTGAGTCGATATCAATTTTGTCCACCTGGTATGGATGGAATCTGCTGATGTATTTTTTGTTAGTTATGATTAGCTTTGGTTTACTATCTTCTAAAATGAATTGAATTCGCTCCTCTGGATAGTTCGTATCGATCGGGACATATGCTGCACTTGATTTCCATACACCCAGCATACTGATTATCATCTGTTCATTTTTATCTAAAAACAACGCAATGAGATCATCTGGATATGAATCAGATATAGATTGTAAGTAGCGTGCCAGTTGATTCGCTTTCTCATTCAATTCTCGATAAGTCAGTTGGATATCTTTATAGACAACAGCGATTTTGTCTGACGACTTTGCTACTTCTTTTTCGAATAGTTCATGAATCATGCTTTTTGCGGGGAGCTGTGAAAAGTTTCGAATTGTGTTCCAATTGCTCACTATCTTTGATAGTTGTTTGGTGACGAAATGCAGATCAGAAATTCGTTTTATTTGATCTGTTCCTATTTGAGTGAGCAATTCATTAGTTACAGCTAACAAGTCGTCAATTGTTTCATTTTCAAATAATTCACCAGCAAAGTTTAACACCAACTTGACGCATTCATTTTCGGCTCTTTCGTAAGCGCTAAATACCAGAGGATGATTAAATCCTTGAACGCTGTCTTCTTGTTCAATGTTGATTGGTTTTGCGTTCATCTCCAATTCTTTTTCCGAAGTTGGATAACTTTCGTAAATGAACAGACAATCGAATAAGTTGTGTGTTGTTGGTTTTTTGATAAATATAGACAAATCGCTGCTATCTTGGCTGACTATCTGTGTGATATTATCTTGAATACTTTTTATGGCGTCGATTATCAATTCGTGCACATTGTGATCCATTATTGATGGTACCATACCAATCTTAGGCAGAAGTGTGCCGATAACTGTCTGGTCGCTGTTGCCATATACATTCAATACTTTATGCAAAACGAATTGTAAAGCGCAATCCAAATGGATGCTGTTTTGACCACATATTGTTCGCAAGTTTCTGTAGATGTTACCGGTAAGTAAAAGCGACGCTACGTTTTGCTCCGTAACATGATCGTATTGATTGAGAACCACTTTGTTCTTTTTCTCTTGCTTTAAAAGACTTGTAAGGTCACATCTTTCTTCAATCTTACTTATTTCATGTTCCCAATCATCAGTGTTGATTCGAGAATACATTTGGATAAATGTACTCCAATAATAAAATGGATAATGCTGTAAAATGATACAGCTAATTCTTTTATGATATAATATCTGTAAGTAATAAATAATAAAGAAATTAATACCGAATTAAACATATCTTATTTTAAAACCTTTCACTAACTTCTGTTATCTTCGTCAGTCATAATGGAAATGAAGTTACATGAAAAAGAACAATACACAATTAGAATTGAGAAAAAACAACAATGCAATTTAATTGGATAATAAAACGTGAGAGTGTGGGTGTGAGTATGAATAAGAAAAAATATTCACATTCACAACCGTCACTCACACTCTTACGCACACCTACATCCATATCCACCCTTCACCCTTAAGAGATCTGAAAGAGCGTGCTGAAAAGTGTGAGAGTAGGAATTTGGATCCACTTCTCTAGTCTTCTCCCACAGTGCGCGACCAGCACATGTGTTTTTGAGTCAGTCACGGACTGTGTCCAACCGAAGTCAAAAATCAAATATCATTATGAAAGCGCCAGCGATCATGACAGACACAGAGAGAATATATCGTCAGAAATTATGGCAGACAGACGTCATAAGTCATTATAATGCGTCACAGATCATGATGAAGATAGAAGAGGAAGATTATTTCGCCAAAGGAAACGATTGACAGAGATTAAAAGCCATCATAAGGGTGAGGACCTTTCCTTGCAACATAAGAAGGTGCATCGTATTTCACATTTTTAATCGCACAGAAATTGCGGTAACAGTTTTCTTCAAATGGGGACATGAACATACTTCCATCGCAAAATCATCAAGAGAAACCTATTACGAGTAAAAGAACAGGTGCGACCATGAGAAACTCAAACCACCCAGTATATTATATAGTAAGGTCTATTTGAATTCAGTCTGGACTGGAAGAAAAAAACTATGTATCCTAGTTGAATTTTTCAGATTAAGAGCACTGAAAGCAAGAATGAAGAGTACACTGTAAAAAAAAGAATCGTTACCGAATCAAAAAAAGATATCCGGTCGCGGACACACGATTAGATACTTTTTTGGTTTCATGAAAAGAAAGTTTGGTACCAAACTTTTTCTTAATGAATGACAAAAAAAAGGTTTCGTACACTAGATTCAGTATGAAACCTCTATTGTGAAAGGTCAAAACGTTTTCGCACCAAATCTCACCGCGCCATATCCACCTAAATTATATCCTATGAAACACGTCTTAGGC